TTGGCTCCAGAAATGTGTGGCAAATCCATGATCTCTTTAATATAGGCTTTGACAATCTCCGGAGTTTTGCCATATTGATCTTGCAAAATTGACTTTGCCCGGTTGTATCCCTCCGCAGTAAATGGCAATGACTCTACCCGGCGTTTAACTTTTGGTCCCAGAAACCCACACAGATATGTAAATTTGTTGATAGCAGCTATATTTGACTTATCCACCGTCTCTGTGAATTGGCCCCAAAATCTTGGCCAATCCATGTATGACCCATCAAATTGCACAATATTAATTTTAGGTAATCTCACTGACATACCTTTCATGCCTTCCCCCGTCTCAGTTTTCGAGGTGTTATGCCCCCCCGGGTTTGCATCCTGAATTTTAGCTTGCATTTGAAGCTTTGTTTCTCCCAATTTCACTTCGAATTTAAGTTGTTCCTCTCGAGCGTAGTTTTCTTCTTCCATCTTTTTGCTGTCTAGCCATTGTTGAAGTCGATTTACTTCGTCTTCAGCTTCACCTATCTTCGCTTCGATTTCCGTATTCCAGTCGCTAATTTCTGCTAGATCTTCTTTCTTACCGATTTTTTCAGCCTCAACCGTACGTTTGCACTGATCTGTTTCGCTTATTGTTGTTTGGAGTGCCTTTAAATGCCGTTCGATCGTTTCTCGTTTTCCAGCATCAAGTATTTTCCCGGTCCTTTGCGCCGTTAATCTCAACTGAGTGAGTTTTGTATCGAGTTTCGCTTCCTCGTTCGCCATAATAAATTGCTCGCTAGCGTCGAAATAAATCCCAAAATATCACAAATATATCTTCGTCGGTAGGTGCCACGTATTCCGAAACTTTGCCTCCGAATCTTAGTAACGGAATTACGGAATATTATCAAAATAAATGTATCGACGTATATTTATTACATGAATTTATAAAATCTCACAGTTTTCTCACATCACAAAAATTCCCATGTTTGTAAAAAATTCCCTCCCCAGCATGTCCTGAGCATGTCTCACAGTTCCTATGACAACGGTGTTTCCACTTTTTTATATATAAATGTCAATTTCCAACAAGTTTACCAACAGTCTTTCCTTATTAAGGACTAGCATATAGAAGTTTGTTGAATGATTATGTGGATTTTAGTGTATTAATGAATTGTTTAGTTGTTGACTGTTGAGTCTATGGAAACTTGTTTTGATGGGACAGGGTATAATACTTATGGTACCAGTATCCAGAGGTGGGATACTGACTTATCATGGGTATACTAAACTTTGAATCCTGGTGGTACGTATCCTGTTGGATACTGAGAAAAAGTATAAATTTCAGACCCTACATGGTGTATCATACATGAAGTATATGCTGATCAAGTATTAGTAATTAAAACATTCTTAGCATCATGCAGTATGTGTATATTTAGGTGTGACATGAAAAACAGGGACAATATGGTATATATGATATCTTAAAAATTTGATATGTTGTAATTAAAATAACAATATAACAAAGTCACTCAGTTCTACTGTACTATCCAAGGAATGTGGTCAAAACGACAACAGTTTGCCAGGTCCAAAAAATAATACTAGAAAATAAATAATACTCAAGACTAATATATAATATATATTTGCTGAAAACATAATTTTATCTTATACCTGTGCACTGTAATAATATGCCAAGATTAGTGTCCCCAAAAAACTATACACTGTTTGATTTTCTGTAACGTAAAAACAATAAAGGCTATTGCACTGCAATAAATTTCATTGTATTCAGAAAGGGCCAACTTAGATTTTGATATATAACATTTAATATCTAATTGTGCAATTTTGAATGTGCTATCGATATTTTTTAATGTTGAACGTCTAACATTTTTGTTCATGTTTCGCTCGCTACTCTGGTTTAAATAAATGATTACAAAGCCCAGTCGAATTGTAATCAAGACCCAACGTTTCGACACGAGTTCCAGTCTAGTGTCTTCATCAGGGGTGATCTAAAACTGCGATCGTGGCTTCTTAAATGCCCAAGGGATGATGTCACCTGCCAAGAAGATGCATATATTCCTCTGGCAAATAGGCACCGTCATCCCTTTTCCAAGCATAGTCTTTGACCATATAGGCAAAGTCTTTGACCATAGCGATTGTTTGTGGTAATTACTTTAGAGTTTTCCCACGTAATCTCGTGTTTGGTGTAACATACACGTTCAGCTTTAGCCGAGTCGGCTATCAGCCATATACGACGAATGGTATAATTGTTTTATAATATAGTCTAATAGACATTAACTGAAGCAATAATTAATTATCCTCTGTTACAATCTTGACAATTTGTTCGGCCAAAAACCGCTTAGCCTTGAAAATTTGAAATACTTTTGTTTTACAAGAAGAAGAAGAAGTGAAAGAAATGGTTTTAGAACCGGTATATCTCATAGAAAAGCTCAGATATATTATACAGATGTTTGGTAGTATTTTTTAAGTGCTTGTTGACTGCAAATTCATTTGTCTTTCGTTGCAAACTTTTCTGAACAATTTATATTCTCACTGAACGTGTTTTTTCGCTGTTGTTTCGGTATTAATTCTTTAAAAAAACTTATATTTAAACTAATTTCTATGAAATAAATGTATTTGCTAACCTGTCAAATTTTTTTGAGAGTTTTTCCTTGTACTATTATCTTTCTCAAAGCGAATATTTTCCTTTTTCCTGCTTCGCAAAACTGCATGTTGTAGTTTTTGGACCGCCATCTTGTTTTTCGCTACTCGCCGTATATGAGCTGATGTATGGCGAGTAATTCAACCAATCAGATTGCAGAACATCTCATATACGGTGAATGCCTATATATATATATATATATATATATATATATATATATATATATATATATATATATATATATATATATATATATATATATATATATATATATATATATATATATATATATTTAACAATTATACCATGAGCTCGAGTCGTATATGAGCTGATAGCTGACGAGGTGCGTAGCACCGAGTCGGCTATCAGCCATATACGACGAGAGCGAATGGTATAATTGTTTTATAATATAGTCTAATATAGCGATTAACTGAAACAGTAAATAATTATTCACTGTTACAATGTATTGACAATTTGTTCGGCCAAAAACCGCTTGAAAATTTGAAATACTTTTGTTTTACAACTCGAAGACGAAGTGAAAGGAATGGTTTTAGAACCTTTATATCTCACAGGAAAGCTCAGATATATTATACAGATGTTTGGTACTATAGTAAGTGCTTGTTGACTGCAAATTCATTTGTCGTTCATTTCAAACTTTTCTGAACAATTCATATTCTCAATGAACATGTTTTTTCGCTGTTGTTTCGGTATTAATTCTTTAAAAAACTTGTATTTAAACTAATTTCTACGTAATAAATGTATTTTGCTAACCTGTCAATTTTTTTTTTATAGTTTTTCCTTGTACTATTATGTTTTTCAAAGCGAATAT